AAATGTTTACCATTGAATTTAGCTGGGTTAATCCACAATATTTTTCCTCTTTAAGTGTGTCGTATGTAGAGCGCTTATCTATTTCTGTGTTCATTCAGTAGGTAAGCGCTGTATGCAAGAGTGTGACTTACATCAGAGATTTCATTCAAGACGTTAACTTTTACTACATTTGTGTTTTTCATCCGGTATGTTGGTGGCTAACAAGTCCATAACAGACAGCTATGTATAACCTCAGATTTTCAAAATGAAATCGTTAGCGTAATTGCATTTTAATCTGTGCAGTCACCTATTTAATGGATTAGCATCAGAACGTCTATGAGGTCCTCTCCTTATCCCTAACGATAGAGTTTTGGGGCTTGACCATAAACTTTAAACAAATAGTGATTACAGTAGTTGAGATCATTAGTCAATTGAAGCTAGACCACCATGGAAAACCTGGAAACACTGGACGGCTGTTTCGTCCTATTGTGGGACTCCTCAGCAGTGCGCATCCACGATATTCGTTGTTGATTTCGTTGGTTATTCACCAATCAGAAATAATTTCAACTTTCTGAAATAACAAAACCATTTGTAAAACTTTTGATCCCGGTAAAATTGCTATTACAAACAACAATTAATGGCTAGGAAAGAGCAAAACTGATATGACGGTTTTCCATGGTGGCCTAGCTTCAATTGACTGATGAAATGAACTATTAAAATTACATTCGTTTGCTCATTGTAATTTGTTGTTCAACATTACTTTGGTTTTTAATTGAATGTGAGAATTACTCAGTGAAATATTTATGTTTGTTTTCCAGCGTGATATTCTTTTCGGTATAACGTTAATTTATTTGAGCGTGATGTTTTATTCAAGATATGATATTCACGTATTAAAAATTAACATGAACTATGCCCAGTATCACATGCAGCATGTGATTTTGTTATAACTCTGGGTACTATTTATATATGTTGAACGCCGGCTCAGTGGTCTAGTGGTTAAGCACTCACGCGCGAGACTGATAGGTTCAGGGTTCGAATCCCGCGAGGCAGGGCCGTAGGTGCGCACTGCTGAGGAGTCCCACAATAGGAAGAAACGGCCGTCCAGTGCTTCCAGGTTTTCCATGGTGGTCTAGCTTCAATTGACTTATGATCTCAAGTATTGAAATCATTATAATCTCCGCAAAACCCTTCTGATACAAATAGTGATTCGTTTGACAATATAGAAATATGTGCTCAATATGTCTAGGTGGACACTTTGTTTTCACCTATATATGTAAAGAAATAGCATGCTGCGAAACAAACTATTCCGGCATTTCACATCTGAATCTAGACCAGTGAGAGGATGTCTACTCGAGCTCATTGATGTTAAGAAAGGTAATCACTGAATGAATTATTGGTTTTTATATCCATCTTAAAACACTAATAGGCGTTTCATTATATCTAAAATTATCACATACAATTAGATCCCTTGATAAATTTAAACAAAGCAAGAACTACAAGGTTTGTGGTAAAAAATAAATTCATTACCTCTCACGGTTTCTCATCAGCCGCAACACAACCTGAAATTACAATTAATAATATCAATATAATAATTAACAAACATTTAGCGCGCTATAGTTTTTGAGGTTCAGATAAATGTTCGAAATGTAATTAAAATCATAGAAATAAAAAGAATAGGGATACAAAGTGTATGAATACACATAACTACGATTGATTTATATTTATATGCTGGAAAGTAATTGCACAGAGGTTATGTAATGGTGGTGAAATTAATAAGTGACTGGGTAATTGCTCAACACGTTAAAATAAACGAATATGTGAATTTTAAGAGTTGAATTCTCGAGTCGATCTATTATTGAAAACTCAAAAGTATTGGATGAAAGTTTCCTCCCAGTATGGGACTCCTCAGCAGTAAGCACTCACGATCCCACACGCCGGACTTAAACCTAGGACCGAAGGTCCTGGATGCCGGTTCAGTGGTATATAAGTTAGGTATTCGTGCGATACCGAAGGTTTTATGACATCCTGATTACAATGACATTAAAATATATCTTTGCAGATTAAGCTTGATTGAAGAATTGCTGAAAACTATGAGTTGGGGCTAGTTTGGTTGGTCAATAACCTGAAATTACTACGAAAAAAGATTGAATACTTTAAGCCCATTGAAACTAAAACAAAAAACTATCAAATAAGATTATTCAGGCCATGAACTAATAGAAATCAAAATAACAAATACACTTCCACCTCATCGATCACCAGGTGACAATGTTGATATCTACTTGAGTCAAGTCATGGCAAAATTAAGCGTGTAAAATTCTCGTCTCAATTTTTTTCTCTTTCTATCACTATTTTTAATTTATTACCCGTCAGAATGAGTAACCGTCTTAACAACAAATTGAGTACTTAGTACTCAGGGATTACATCTCTACTAAAATACAAACGGAAAGTTAGTCTTATCCTTTGAGCTATATTCAATACTTATACTCGCTTTGTAAATTATTGAGATGCTCTGGGGTATCTTCAAAACATGTTCTAATTTATTTGAAACATTAAAGAGTTATTACAGAGAGCAGAAGCGAATAATCCATTAGTTGTTTTAGAACCGTTAGTTTCATTCATGTTTATTTATTTGTGAATTATCAGGTTTAATTTTATTTGAATATTTCTGTAAACAAATGACATTGTTGATTACTTTATGGAACAGATAATTAGTTATCTAGTAGTGTTATTATTTTCGATTCTTATAGGTTGGAATTTGAAGATCAGTTTCATAGTCAAACTTTTGATTACAGTCGCTTAAATCATTTCAATAACGTGTCAGATCCACTGAGTCGTTGTGAGAAAGCAATTTAATTTATTTTCAACAGTTTGAATTATGGACAGCATTGAATATAAGAAAAATGAGCAATAAAGCACTATTTTATTATAAGTATACAGAGTAACTAGTATACAAATATTTTTATACATGTTTTTTCTCAGAAGGCTTCCATACAAATGGATGTAATCAGGAAAACTGCTTGAAAAGTGAAGAACCTCTGCACATCCTCACTGTTTTCCTTAACGAGTTTTCAAATCATCCATTAATTATCTATTTTGAGATAGAACAGAATAAATCCCAAGTTGAAAGCTGAACGCTATTTAACATATATATATGCCTACCTACAAACCCAACTCCGTCCAAACTTAAAACTATCAGGTCTCAAGTCTAGTTTATTACTCTTAGATCACTGAGATATATTCCAACGGCTTACTTTTCTAACTTAAGTCAATTCGTCATTATGTGGTATCATCATTGATACTTGAGAGTTCTGAGCTTGACTCCTCGCTAAGCCTGTGGTTATAAACCATTGATAAATGCCATGCCTGTCTTCGACGTTTGTCTTACTAAAACATTCTTTAATCTTCAAAGTAAATAATGTCCACAAACTCCCCATTCAAATGTATATATATCCCAATGGTAAAACAAAACTGTAGGTGAATTATACATTTATGTATAAATCAAGAAAAAAATAGTGTGAATTTGCATAGCAAATAACTTACTAATTACTTATTACAAAATTAGAAAAACAGAATTATCATCAATGATAAGAATAATAAACCTTTCATGAAGCAAGAATTGGGAAAATTGTACATATATATATATGGTATGTAACTACACTACTCATTCAATCATCATCATTCATAAGATATTCTCATCTTTTATATTTCTTATACTAGATATTGAACCTTAGACAATATCTGTCTCTTACCTGTTTGTATGTTGTCTAAGTAACAAAAGCTCTAGGCACCTTTGGGCTTTGCTATGGCAACCGTTAGATAATTTATTTCATATTTACCTTTATGTGTATATACATAAAGTATGATAAATGCTTAGTTGCTATAATAATAACTTATGATACTCTCTCTTGTAGTGATAATGATCTGTCAGTGAAAATGTAAAATGATAGACCAAAAAGTAAGTGAAATAGCATATTGTGCAACAATTCTTCCGGAACACTTATCAGTCAATTAATGGTTTAAATGCACATAAATACACACACGTATTGTTAAAGGAATTTATGTAACATTTGTTGCGTATCACCACTATTGTTGCGAACTGAAGTTGTACCATAAATTCACTTGGTATTGTTTGCTTAAATCTTTTGATTGCACAAGCAAGTGGCTATCAGAACTCAGTAGCTAAGTAGATAAAGCGATGTCGTTTGAGGCGGAAGATACTGGGATGCAGGTACATCCAGCTGACGAGTCCCGAAGCGGATGAAACGCGCGTCCTAAATTCCACTCCTAGTCACCATCCATCTTTGTTTATAATGCAGTTGTAGAAGTCTTAATCCGGGTTATAATATGGGTAACTGTTTATTAAAATATTTTATTTGTTTTATCTATGTTTATTGCACTAGGTAAGGCTATTAGTAATTTGTATGAACGTTGGTCAATTTCTTCCAGGCCGTTAACAATAGATTTCTTATATTGTGAATACGTCACTAGATTTCCCAGTCGTTAGAATGCCAATAATTAGACCAGCAGAAAGCTGTTATCAATCCTTGATAATTTTGGTTGACAAATTATGTGATTGGTTATACACAGGTGTAATGTAGATTACTGCAACAACATTCAAGATATTTAATATATCTTAATTAGTATACACTTAGGATGTGTTTAAAAAAGAAAACTAAATAGAAATTTATAAGTAGTTGGATAGTAAAACGAGATATGTTAAAATTAAGACTAAACTGAAAGAAAACCCATGAAACAGTTGCTGAATAAATAATTCCCAAAAAGTATACAAATTTATTGACTGACAAATACCTACCCATATTTTATGTTTTCATTTTTATCTGCTTCTGTTACTGTCAATTAGAGATTCAAAATAACGGGAAGGATTTCTTGCATAGACTTTAACAAGTGAGTATGAGCAATTGAGAAAAGCTTTTGTTTCACCTCATCACTGAAGTCAAACAACTACCTAGATTGTCATATCTTTTTTATTACCTATCAGTTTGTTGTATTTTTCCATTTTTGTGGAAATATTCATGAATTACATTACTATAACAAAGTGTGAATGAATATATGTCAGTCTCTTCTTTACCTGGTTAATCATAGAACCATTGGTTTAATACTCAAAGTATTCATCCTCCACATGATTGAATTCTTGTCCGTTTGTGCTGTCATTTAGCATCACTACCCCTCATATACAAAAATGTCTGGTTGAAAGCAAGGGACATAAACGTTTACTTTCGTTACTGAGCTGTATGAATCAATATTTAATTAATTGATGTGTAGTCCCTCAAGCTTTTGTCGATTTCGAAAATTCATTTGTAATTACGCAAATTAACAAGTTCATTACGTAAACACCAAGTAAAAATTTTCTTAGGTCGAACACAACATTGAAACATAATTTATGACACTATTAATCATTTTTGTTCTCCTGATTTTACTTCATATTTACTTTCTTTTAATGACAAACACTTCCCATAGATGTCTAAAAATGATTTAATTTACCAGAAACTATTTGTATGGCGAATACCAACTTCACGTTACTGTTTGTCTGTATGTGTATGTGTCAATAAAGACCAGATTTTATCGTTATTAGCATACCTCATGAAAGCAGTTTTTATCAATGGCCTTTTAAGATCCTTCAGAGAGGATATTAAATTATTCGGCTTCATAAATCAGATGATTTTGTCAATTTAAGCTTAAATAGATAGTGTTTTAAAATTCAGTTTTAAGTTATTGTACACTAGTATAAAATTTGATGTTATTTCATTTAACGAACGTATTGGAAAAGTATAGTGAACTGGTTGACATCAAATGTAATACACCGTTAAAGTATATAGTGTCCAGCTGTTTGTCGATAACGAAGTCTTGGATAAATTGACGTTTCAGAAATATTAAATTTTCATCACAGATAGATAATAGACTGATGGTCGATAATAGGACTCGATTACTACTGAGGTCCCATTTTTGTCTTATTTTGCAACTGTTGTGTTTTGAAAAACTATATTTTACTAAACTCCATCGATTCTTAAACTCAGATGCTACAAACAGTGTTGTTCGACCTTATCCCATGTGTTCCAACCAATGGTGAGGTCACACTATAATTCAATCTCTTCGACAGATCATTTTTGAATTATATCTTTCTCGTATGACTTCAAGGATTTTTTTATAATTTGAAGTTTGCTGGTTTACTTGCTAGTCATTCACTGTAGTTGTAGACTAAATTGGAAATGTTTGCCTTCATTTGAATACTCAGAAACCGCAACACCAACAAAAGTATTCATCGGAGTAAAAAAGCCTCTCCATCATTTCAACATTGTTAAATTCCAGACGAAAATATTTTTGTGCTCATTAGTTATTAGTTGGTGAATAAAAAAATGTTTTTCTTTCAGTACAACAATATATTAATAACGAAACGTTAAATGTCTTAAAAGCTTATATCCAAAATTCTATAGGATGATACTATTAAGTCTTCTAGGGGAACGTATTCTTGGACATTTCAATTCACTCAGTTGGTGTGAGACCGATTGTTAAATCATGATCGCTGACTTTCATATCTGGGAGAGTCCGCAGTTTTATTGCTGTCACTTGACAATCTGAAACAACTGCTTGTACTGGGAAACGAGAACCCCTTCAATCCCCACGACACAAAGGGAGAACATGAAAGACTGGTACAATAAAGATTTATTGACTCCCCGAAAACACTTCCCAAAATCAAACTGTCCAAAAATCAAATACAATTATTTTCATACTAAATTTTACACAATATCACATAGGGGGGATGTATAAATATTTACTGTAAAAACACGTACAGTAAATATAGGTCACATGAATCGTTTCAAGTAATACAATTGTAACACTAAATGAAATTTATACCTATCTCCCCAGCCAAAATTTATAATGTACTGATACAAAAATTATTGACTTAAATGGTCTTCTTTTTATCCAGTCACTTCACTAAAATACAGATTGGAGAGAAACGTAAATATATTCCAAGGCAAACAGTAATATAAGTTAATCAGTAAAGAACGTTAGTCCATATATAAAACTCAAACACGAATTTTCTAGTCTTTTCAGCTTATCCACTAGCTCCCTTTGGTAGAAAGTGAACCAATTAATAAAAAAACTTTGTTGAAATGCAAATTAATGAATAAACCTCCTGGAGCCTATCTGGAGTAATTGCTGGTACCTATACCTGGGTAGAGGAGGGTTGGGAGTAGCGTTAACAGCCCTGTATTATAAAAAGTAACTCCACTACAGAATCACTAACTAGAAAACCCAACTAAGCCCTGCCGTTGGAGGATCCTCATGAATAAGAGTTATAACTCTCGTGATGAAACCCCAGAGACTGGAAACCATGAGAATAACTTGTTCTGACTACCGTGGGGACAATAAACATAGGGATATGCAACATTCAAGCAATGTAGATCATTGTAGAATATAACTTGTCCACAGATGATATTCTTAAATAGGTCTCTTAACTGTAGCACACAGTCTTTGTGTGGTTAAAGTCAAATCAAGTAAGCCATTTGTCTCATAAAACTTTAATCTGTCTCTAAAACATGAATTAATACAATTGCTGGAAAAATAGAAATCAAAGGAACCCGTCAAAGAGAAAAATGAGGTGACAAAAGTGGTGCATGCTTAACAGTAACTAGAGGACACAACAAAGGAATGAATGAAATCATAGTCTTATTAAGAATTAAGAATATATTTGTAAAATCTCAGCGAATGGATTCGAGGTAAATTCAACATTTCGCCTGAATATCTAGTACAAGCTTTTTCAAAGAAATATAACCAAACATCAAAATTATCGAATATAAATAGGTACATAGCCCTCCAGTTAAATGTATACTAAACAGGTCATCCAATCACGTAGAAAAATGTTGCAATTAAGAGTTGGCCGTAGTGCGTATGAGAAATCTGGTGTATAAAGAAAATGGGTATTAAGAAAACAGATTGTACACATGTATTTACCATGTACTTACTTATATTCCACAATTTCACGGAATCAAATAAGTCAAATAACGAGAATGGACTTGTGAATACATATATTCTGTATATAAAGCGAATGGAATAGAACGAAGCGAAACGACGCGCAGTGGAGATGGCGGATAAGCCATCTCCCATTTAACCGAGCGTTAATCAATATTTATAGTTACATTAAACTAAGTTACAGACATGTGATGAGTAACGGGATAAGAAATGTACACACACGTACGCGCTCATATAAAAACAGTCAAGATTGATAAGCGAGTAAATAACAAGGTCAGAATGTGACTCAAGTAGAATGAATAGATTGGGCTGTCCGAAAGCTAGAATAAGGTATATGGGCTTAACATAATAACCGACACTACATATTTTTTAGAAAAAGCTTGAATCGGATTGCCAGGAGAAATATTGGATTTACTTAAAATTCAATCACTGAGACTTTACAAATATATATTTCCCTCTTAGTGTGTTACATTGACCCAGCACCCAACTACTGTGAAAATTTTCGTTCAAATTTAGATGAAAGTTTTTATTAAAACGTAGTCTTGTTTGTAAAAAATACACAAGTTTGTGGTTGGTAGATAAACAAACCGTAGTTTTTGATAATTCGTTTATTAATTAGTCGTGACAAGTGTCGTGTTTGTAAAGTCCTTCTTCAAGCTGGTCGAATTTGCTATGTATCCACTAGTCCAAGTGACTCAGCTTCGCGTGCACTAGATGGAGATGTTGAGTGGTGGTTGGAATTGGTCGACAGAAAACCGTGGGCTCAGATTTTTTGTTACTCGGCACTTGTCGTATACTAGTAATATTGATGGTAAAAATGCTTCCGATTACTATATAGCAACGTATAGTGAGTTCAAGGTCAGATTAAATCAAAGTAGTCGGAGTTTAGTAGTATTATTTGTGGATTCGTTCATCGCTCACACTTGACAATCATGAAGATCATTCAAACAGCCTGAAAAATGGAATGTGACTTGACCAAGATCGGTGTAAGTGTAACTCACTGGATACAGCTGGACAGGAAAGAGTGGTTTCAAGAAAGTTGTTGTCTTCTGGTCATGAAGGACAGAGTCTCCCATACACACAGGGATTTGCACTTATCCTGTCCAAAGAAACACATAAGCCGCTTATAAGATAGAAATCACATAACTCCAAGATCATCAAAGCATCCTTCAAAACAAAAAAGGGAAAACGGTTCAATGAATGTCACCCAATGATACTCACCCATCACTGATTTCAGTAAAGGACGATAAAGACCAGATTTATGAGGAACTGAAGTCAATCCTGAAGAAATGTCCAGGAAACACCTAGTCATCTTAGCGGAATATCTGAAAAACAAGGTCAGGATAGACAATATCTAGTACGAACACATCATGAGATGATAAGGATTGTGCGAAGGGAACGAGATAGGTGGGTGACTGGAAAGTACTTACGCTTTTAACAATGCGTTTATAGTAAAATTAACATATTTGTAATATCAAGAGGAGTATAAATATTAAATTTTTAAAATTTCTGACGTTTCGTGACTCAGTGTAAACCAATTCTTCAAAGACTAGATAAATAAACTGAATTAACCTAAGATTTTGTTAATAACAATCTACCCAATGCTCAGTTTATTTGAAATTATCAAGTCAAACCTTGGTAATGATACATACAAATATGGTTATGGGTAACAGACGTTTCCTCTCAAATTCATTCACGAAGCTCAAGGGTCCGACTAGGCCACACCGAAGAAAACCAGTCGAACAAATATGTATAAGTAAAAGATTCAGGTTTATTGAAGACGTAAGAACAAAGAGAGGATCTGATACAACTTCAAGTCATCACATGGTGGTAGCCAATGTATAGAATCGTTGGATAGTTAGACAAACCGGACTACTAAAGTTTGATACAACCTTCCTTCTACAAAAAATATCTCTCAACAACAACTTTAAAGTCTTACAAGATCGACTATAAGAGGAAACCACTATGGAGAATATTTGGAGAGGGATTAAAGAAACACTTCAACATTCCAGATGTTGGGCTTCACGAAGTGTCAATGTAAAGAATGAACCTCTGTAGACAGTTTACATAAGATTCAAAAAAGAAAAACGAGAAGATGGAAGTTAACAACAGATAACCAAGAGGGGAAAAGGCCAAGGCGTTCTGTGCAACTGTACTGTTGCTTTGTTTAAATCGAATCATAACAAGTGAACGCAATGCTAATCAGTTAACAAAATTGTAATCCAATATCTCACATTTTCAACTTTGTTCAGTTATTTTGTCATTTAATACCGATAGAAATTTATTGCTTTACTTCCAATTGAATTAACTACGTTGTTGTTACTTTAGAATAAAAAATTCATGAGATCTGTTTGGTGACTGGTCACCAGAAAACACATGATTAAATTGTAAGTTATATAGTTTTATAATAATTACTAACACATTTGTACCAGCAAAGAATGAGAAAAAATGTAAAATTATCTCAACCTGTGAAATTTCTAAAATTCTCCACAAAACCCATTCTGATAATAATAAACTGCTCACTAGTGACTGACTTCAGGAAAAACTCCTGAAGTTCTAGTGAGAAGCCGTTACCAGTGGAGTTCAACCGGTCTGTTGTGAGATAACAACTCACTGAAGACAATGGTGTACGGTGGCGCAACTTCGTGGATTGGTTGAAGTTAGACATTAACACCGTTGGATGCCGGCTCAGTGGTCTAGTGGTTAAGTGCTCGCGCGCGAAGCCAGTAGGTCCTGGGCTCGAGCCCCGCGTGGTGCGGGATCGTGGATGCGCACTGCTGAGGAGTCCCATACCAGGACGAAACGGCCGTCCAGTGCTTCCAGGTTTTCAATGGTGGTCTAGCTTCAACTGACTCATGATTTCAACCTGTGAGATATCTCAAGAATGTTTAGTAAAAATATTATTGAATAGTATTGAGTCCGTGTCGAACTCCATTCAAGGTTATGTGAAATTATTTGGTGAACTTTCATGTTACTAAACAGATCTTTCAGTTAATTAGACTAGCATAAGTAGCTGTTTACACTGAATTAAACACAAATTCCTGAACTTTATACCTCCTGGTACTCTACTTTTATAGGATTATTGAGAGCTATTCCATTAGATGATAAGGCTGATTCTAATTTTATTACATTATTGACACAAGGGCCCCTAAAAGACGCACTATTATTTATTTTTGTGTCGTTATGTCTTCTTTTCTCGCAACGACCAGTTGATATCAATATAACGTTAAAACAGTAAAGCAATCTAATTGAAGACCTGTTGGCCAATGTATCGTTATTGTCCAGACCAACTATCTCACACTGCATCGACCAGTAATAGTGCTCATAATCCCGTAGCTGAATTCATTCTCCACAAGAATAGTGGGATCACTTTTGAGGTGTGATTCACATGCCACTAATGATTATTTCTTCATGGTTCTGATGAATGAAACTACAGTTTAAAGTTACGATTATTAGTAGGCATCTCAGAGTCTTATTGTAATTATATTTTACCAAATAAACCTGCGTATTTAACATTTTTGGTGATCGTATAGTGTTTATCAAGGATTTTTGGAGAACGATGTTGTATGCCAGATATTGGTGTTTACCGATGCTTAATAGGGCATATGTTATCATCGTTAATCAAAAATCTGAAAAGTTCTGAATGGTGATTTTTGAAGATCAGTTTAAACCCCTTATATTTGTACGTATTGTAGTGCATATGGTTCTGTTCTCTATACCTTGTAATAATATACTATCGTTCTCGTTAACATTTAGTTCTCCGTAGAACGGTGCAATTATTGAGAGTATGTGTATCACATGGTAAAGTTAGCAAAAACGTTATAGCGAAAACATTGATTCAGTTATTAATACTGAATAGAATGACTTGTTTAGTTAGGCCCTAGAAAAAATACAACAAAACCAATTATAAAAACCATTAAATATTTTACATGGGATTTCTACAACTACACAGTTAGATTTATAAAAAGTACTAGGTGAATTGACGAGTCTGGAATTTTTCCTAACACTGATACACAGAATGAAATCAACGACACGTTTTTAAGCAGTAGAGACATTCTTCTTTAAATAAAAGGAATGATTTTCCTACTGTTTGGATTGTAATTTCCTCCCACCAGCATGGAAATAAGAAATTTCTGAATACCTATGTTCATCCTAATTTAATGCTACTTTAATATATACTTGTGACTCGATATGAAATTGAACCCATAACTCGTAGGCCTCGTTATGCATATAATTTATTTTAATTTACTAAGCGGAAATCCTAGGGTTCAAATTTTCAGATTTAATTAATTTGTGGCTATTTAAAAACATATCTGCTACATAAAATTAACCTGGACAGTCTAGAAAAAATTGCTACAATTGATCTAAACAGTGAAAGAAACCCAGTAAGTCATTGAAGAAAAAAATTTCTCGTTTTAAGAATATGCAAACATTTACATAGTCTTAACCGTTTCCGTAATTCCCATCGCTTAATCATAATTTATTTTCTAAATACTAGAATACCAATCTCATTTATTTTACTCGGATAGTTGTATCTTCTATTTGGAAAATTTAAATGTTCATCTATTCATGCCTGAACTACATAGATACTCATTTTGATGAACATATCTTTAAATTAAGTTAGCATAACATATTTCTCTATTAGTACGTTTAATTTAATTACAGTAGTTAGATTGTTTTGGATATTTGTTAATTCAAACTAAAATGACATTTGGGCCTCCAGGAATTGTTTAAACATCTCACCCCTCACAGAGTAATTCAGAAACAAGGAGTATCCAAGCGGACAATTGTTTTCAACCACTTTATCATCAAACTCTATACCTATAAAACAATAATTCTTGAATTACACTTGGCAAGGTAAAGTTAGCAAATAAATGAATTAAACAGTGTTATATTTCATTTTTGTATTGGTTGTTTGAATATTCCCATTGATGTTTAGAACTGTAATTGATCAGTCTCTTATTGGCATACGTGCATCTTGTGTGAATTGCATCAATATTACTTTAAGTCACAAGCATTATAAGCATAGATGATGGTGGCCAGAAGGGCAACCAGGACGTGAGTTTCGTCTTATTTGGGACTCGTCAGCTGGATGTACCTGCATCCCAGAGTTGATGTTCACTTCAGGAATTGAACCCAGTACCATTCGATTCAAACACCATCGCGTTATCCACTTGGGTACTGAGTTCAGATACCCGATGCTAGTCACCATCCATCTCTGCTTTTAATACTTGTGGCTTTAGGTAATATTGAAGCAATCCACACAGGATGCACGTCTGCCAATAAGAGATTGATCAATTACAGTTCTAAACATCAATGGGAATATTCAAACAACCAATACAAAAATGAATTAAAACTTCACTCCATTTCATAAGCTAGTAGCTAGTTGAACATACATATATGGACATAAAAACAGACATAAATGCAGAATACTTTTATCCATAGCCTACTTGTTCCAAAGAAAAACAAATTTCATTTTTCTCCTTTGTCTGAAAATAAAGTCAGGCAAAACAAAAATCACCATAGGAGTCGATAACTAAAAAATACACTGAATTAACACAATAGTTACACAATTGGAAAAATGCCCTATAAATCCTTTTAGACCTATCCAAAAAAATGAATCTCGAGATTGCATAAATCTACTTAAGTCGATAAAGAAAATTTGGATTTTCGTGCTTCACAATATTTTAAATCTGGGCCTCTCTGTTTAACCTTCCACTTAAGACATTTTCAGCAGCAATCGACTGCATGGTTATTGTTTGGATAAAAGATATATAACCCCTTTGGTAGACCTTTTCGCATGCTAAGCGAGCAAGAGCCATAACAAAGCAATTTTGACACGTATTGGGAGATGGCTGGGAAGCCAACTCCGTTTTAGTCAAGTGTTATTCCATATTTATAGTCAGACAAGATAAGCTACAGACATATGATGAATCATGGGATATGAAGTGACACACATATACGCTCATGTGAAAACAGTCAAGGGTAATAAGCGAATAATTGACAAGGTCAAAATATGGCTCAAGTAAAATTAATAAAATAGGATGTCCGGAAGTTAGAATAAGGTATATGGGCTTGCCATAATAACTGACACAACACCCCCTATATGCCAAGTAGAACTGGTGACCTTCCACTCAATAAATGATACACCGATAAATGAACCACAGGCAAGACCTTAACGCTTATTGGTTCTCTAGCTTCTTCCGACACATATTCCAATTAGAAGACAAAGATACAAAACAGACTGACTCTGCTGTACTTCATTCAATCATGACTCAAAATTGATACACTAATATACCTTAAGCACCTGGCTTCACAGCAGCACAATTAAAGTGTGCACATAGCTTAATCATAAGTAATGCAAAACCTTTGCAATAAGGAAATAGTTACTTAGCGATAAATTTGAAACTAAGATTTGTGAAGATATACATATGGCAAATGAGCGAATGTAAAAATGCAACAATCAAAGCACCATTAGTTAAACAATAAAAATACAAATAATAATTCTTCCTTTGATAGCCTCGGAAATTGTACTTCCATACGATTCACGCCATTATACCAAAACTGAAGGAGATTGCTTTCATAAGTAAACGTAAGCATATTATTATGTGCTTCCTCATCAAATTCCAACACAGTCTTCTTACCATCCCTTTACCACAGCAAATTACTTATAGGCCAAACACAATCCTACCAACGATTGGACTTTACAGAGTAACTTATTGGTGTTTCCAATTCCTAGGTAGACATCCTCAGGTGCTTCATTAAATGATATACTATGATAAGATGTTCAAAACCATTAACGTTGAGAATACTTTAATTGTAATTCAAACAAAATCTTGCTTCGACTGGTAACATTTGTGATTTCCATTGCTATTAATAGTATCAGTTCTTTATAATCACCCCACCTAAAAGCAAACAATTAATCCATTGTATGTAGTAATACTTATCTAGCAGACGTGTTCATATCACCAGAGAAGAAAAGGATTTGATACTTGTCCTTCCTAAACTTCAAGTGACTGTTAATACTTTTAGTTGCATAAGGTAGTAATAGTCAGTTGATAAGAATAAAAACATTAGGTAAACATCTTTATACAACCTTATTAACATAATTGATTATTATTTAGTCAGATATCAGTTATTTCTCTCTCTCTCTCTCTCTCGGGTTCATCTTTATTTTATTATGCCTACTGAGGCTTTTACTTTCATACTCATGTATGGTTGAAATTTGCAGGAAACAAACCGTGATGATGTTGTCCGGAAAGACAACGAAGGCTCTGAAATTACACCAACTAGTTTAGAGGGCACAACACCAGCCAAAACATGTGTACTTGTTTTTACAAAAACAATAAAATTATCTTAAAGTTTACTAGAATTATAGAAACCAAATAATATTTATAAAGTTTACAGCAATTTATTAATTCGAAATCTGCTTCCGTCCGGTCTATTTGTGGATAAATGCAAGCCAATTTCTTTAAAATTTTCATAAACGATATTCAAAATTCAATTGATCTCCTCAAATTTAAATCTCAAAGGAAACACTGTATTAAATGTAGATTAGTGATCTAAATGAGTAACTATGTAAATGGAATTTCGAACTGGAGAAGCTTTGTTCAGTTCAAATAAACTGAAAAATGCACTCATAATTAGAACTTGTCTCTTTAATCTTTGTTCATGAATTTTAGATCAAGCGAGTACATTGTTTATACATGTAATTCAAAACAGATTAGTTAAATGAAAATTAGCGTCGTTCCACCATTTGTTATTTGCTTATTCATCATGTGACTTACATGATCGGTTTTTCAGACTGGCTATTGGTCAAATATTCGACCTTGAGGATGTTTGAACCTGTGATTAGAATTAGATCGGACAAAAGAACAGTATATTTACATTGACATCTTGATTAGGCTTTATATAGTCAAGTCACTTTTAGGTGAAATATTAGTCTTAAACTTGGTGAAGCTCTTCTGCATTTCTGTGCTAATTCTCTTAGTTCATTACCAAAATTAATATTACATTTAGCTAAGCCTAAATGGTAATATCGAGGCAACCCATATAGGATGCATATCTACCAGCAGGGGAATTACTTGAAGTACTGGATAACAACAATTGGAAATTATAAAACCTTAGTAACGCACTATTATCATTCCCAAATAAATAGGGTACATATACTGGTGAGAATGTATCTTTCAGTTCTAAAGGGAATTATGAAAATAGAAATCGGCTTTTGGGCCGAATGAACCATTTGAATAATAATATTAATAATTGTGATAACGAAAATCATAAAAATTTCATTATTAATACAATTACAACTTTCAATGAAGATAAGGAATTGATACATTTATGATACTATGGTCGATTTCATCTCCGGAAACATAAGGTTTTAGATCACCGGTTTCGGTTACCTCAGGGATCGCAACTGACGTACAGCCGCCCATATGAGTTAATAAAGTCATTGACTAATGTCTCCATCTTTACTTTAGTCTACTTCTAGGTCAGTTAGCACCGAGCTTCGAGGTAGGCGCTGGGGAATATGTGTAACGCAGGTCTCAATCACCACAGCCAATGAAGACTCACAGAACCGTTAATCTATTTGATATATTTTCATAATATTCCATACAGAGAATCCCACTTGTTCCAACTTTTGATCGCCATACCATGATAGGCAAACGAATGTCATGCCCACATCACGAGTGGGAGTCTTCAAAATCCATGAGAGCTTCTTAATCCATGGTGAGGTTCCACCTGTCACCCATTCATCGCTGCTAATGAGAATTTTAATATTTCAATCACATTATGTTCACTTATTTAGTCTTTCGTATCTTGAAGTGAGAGTGTATGAGAAGCGCATCTCAAACATTTTTTACTCAAGAAGTTCAGAAGTTTTTGTATTTTAGCATATTCAGCAAACAAAACTACGTAACCTGTGGTAAGTTGTTCCAGACGTTTTAGGATTCATGTATAGGTTATATTAAAACTGAAAACTCTCAGCCTTCGATATTCATATTGTTCATAATATAACTTTTTTTATCTTATATTTCAATTTGTTATTGTGTCAAATACATATGAATAACAAAAAACGTGTTCGCAATCACCAAAGTTAGATTATAATTGCTTGATAATGTTGGATTAAAACACTCTCATGGCGAATTTTCTCTTTTAAAATCATGTGATCTATGATCAACCTGTTAAAATTAAACTATATAACAGGCATCACTAGTCGAAATCCTACGAAAACGTCAAAGTTCATGTTTTATTTAGTTTTTCAGTAAATAGAAATGATAACAGCTTGATCTCTTTGAAGATGAGGCTCACTGAGACTTTTGTCCTACAAATCAACTTTGCAATGATTTAAATTTTTCGTATCAATTAGTTATTCGAAGTCGTGTGTACAGGTATGACAAAAGCTTTAACATGATGACGCTTTGTATTCATTGTACGTGACATTTATGTGTGTTTTTATTGAATATATGTGATCACTTTCGTAGGAATTGAACATATTTAGGTTCGTAATTTATCCATTTTAAAGGAAATAACTGTTTTGCTTCATATGTCTCTCCCCTAGATTTATAAAGTATGTCACTCACAAGTCCTTCATTCATGTGATCACTAATTACTCTAAATAGGTTATTTTCCATTACATGGAGTAATCCATTACGCCAAATTTATTTATACATGAATAACGAATCCGCGTGGTCAACACTTTCCGTTAGTCAACAAAGAATGAAGGAAGTGGATTATTTGGGAATGAAAAGATAACTTTGTACTATATGATTTCAAATTCCTTTTATCTCGCAACGATTTTCTTTGAATGACTTAACTCTAAACAATTTAAGGCTTTTTTTATTCATGAATACATTTACGAATATATTAACAACAGCAAAAGCACTCAGGAGCTGGTTATGATGAATCTCAATGCAATTACCAAGAAGTACCTTGTAGTTAAAAACAGAATTAGACGAAGGCTGACAAGAGTAACAAACAGCTAGTTCCCTCTAGATAAAAAGTGGTGATTATTTGTTTATCAAAAAAAAGGAAAGGAAAACAATCCATAAACTGCAATCAAAACTTCCACAGAACATCATGCGAAATTTGGAACACAGTAGACTTGTTTTGCATATCATTATATCATTCAAACCTCATTCTAAACAACATTTTCAAGAATAACAAGTTTCTTCGTGTCGCATTATCTCTTACTTTTTACACAAACAGTACTATCTTCTCTTATAGCTACAATAACTACATTCGCCGTGAGAACTTCAGGTTAACCGAGTGTGTATTTTGGGGATCAAATTAATCGGGATAACATAGAAGAAATACAAATATATGTAATTCTAAACTATTCTTCAGACTGTCGAGCACAGAGTCCTAGCTTAGCCAAGGTCAGAACAAGTATGCCATTTGGCTTGATAAACTTTATCTGTTTCTAAAAGTAAAAACAATTAAATTAGTACAATAGTTAAAGGAGTTATAGCCATTAAGTGGGGAGCACAAACAAATGACCACTATTGAGTGTCTTATCGAAATGAATAAAAATTATGAGTTACTAATATAATAGAATAATAATGTTCTACAGTTGTCATGTTATATGCAACAAAGATAGTCTACAGACACATCAGTTCACATTGAAGTGGTGGGAGCTTAAACAACGATTTGATTGGTTAGTTTTGGACATCACTAACAATTTCACTTCAACCAGAATATAATTTCTCACATTTCGATGCGTTTGGATAACTTGTCATCCTATCAATACTCTGAGTAGTCCTCAGCAGTTAGCATCCATAACACGAAATGAAGTCAAATCTACAAGTCTTGTGGTTGGTAATTGCCTTTACCTTCATTCCATTTGTAATATGGCACCGTCCTCATGTTTTCGATGAGCTACCTTCTCATTTCTGGACTTGGTTAACTCCAAAAAAATCAATGTCATAAGTAATAACTTATCTATATTCACTTCTACTATAAGTAGTGGAAAATCAGTTCATTTGGGAAATGTTCAACTATAAAAGGAACCTGCCCAAAACCACTTAGTTTACCCCTCTAATGACAACAAAAAATGAAAACAAACATTACATTGAATAAAACGTATTATTCCTTAAATCTTACAGTATATACTATAATAATAATGGTAAACAACCGATTCATTAATCAATAAATAACATTTTCATTGCAGTTTAGGTAAGCTTTAAAATAAACTCTTACATTATTTTTCTACATGAATTTCAACACAGAAGCTCACCGGGAGGCTTCATCCGTTCAGGTGATTTTTAGAAATCGTTTTTTTCATAAATTAAATATATTGCATGATAAATCGGCAGCATAAATAACGATGAAGACAGGACAATCAGTTTTGGTAAGAAAACATTTTCCATATATTTAATAAGTATTCAGCATTAAATCAATGATCATAAATGACAAAGCGAAAAAAAGCTGTTCAAATCGTGCAAGACTTTAAAGTACTCCATACACGAAATTCATGTCATACTGTCTAGGCGGCTGATTTATTTTCCGAAGTATAAAAGGTTTCGAAATCTCATTGTTTCGAGTAAGTGAATAAGTTCTCTCAGGCATGATCGGCAGATCGCAGCTATGCGGAGCTCTGTAACTGTACTACCGTGTGACGAAAATCCTGTCCAAAAATGAAGTTTTTCAGTCTGAAAAACATTAGTTATAGGAGGGATATGAAAGAAAGACTAACGCGTGGGTGGAACTACCAAATTAAATATTAAGGTTTTATTGGATTATTACTAACAAACTATTGGTTTAAATAGAGAAATAGTAGGTGGTCTGGACTGTCTGAATGCGGAGGTGGTGTAAGCTAATTTTTATTTGGGAAATTGAGAGTTTGATGACAAAAAAGATTCTGGTCTAACCTCGTTTGTTTTTCATTTAGGTGTATTAAGGGAAACATTATGATGATGTAATCCTAGATAGGGTTAGATCATAAGAAAATGCTTACTGTAACATTTATGTTGAAATTTTGTCATTAGGTGAACAAATGCTTACTTCATTGAGTTCTAAGATTTGATGTACATCAACCCCTAAGTCTTGCTGTGAGATTCAAAAAATCGCCTTGTCAGTTTTTTCATGAAAATTGTTATTTACTGCTAAATTCATTAAATGAAATTTCCGGTCTCATTCATGTAAACGGAAAGCAGATTAGTACTTAAGATAGATAAACGTCCTGCTAAGTAGAAATGATTTAATGAATCGTTCATCTGTGTTTTTTGTTGACGTATAATTAATGGATTTGATTACAGTCGTATATTAAATAAGGCTAAATTCTAGGGCAAAGATGACTTGATTGTCGCAGTGATATACCTATGCAACGTTTATTGTTAAGTACACTTATACAAAATACATTCAAAGTTCGTATTTCTAAAGGTGCTTGATGTTGTTGAATATATAGGTCTCAAACAAACTTTATATTCGTAAAATAGAATGAATCAGCTTATTTATCAGAAGAGTTATAAAACTCGTGAAACTCGTATCTAACGTGAATGCTTTTAGTGGTTTTTCATTATCTGAACTAATTGATCGAGTTGCTCAACCTCCATTGTTATTTTAGATGATATCAACATCAGAGCCGACTTCAAATAGATATGAGCTGTAGGGAATTATTGCATGACTGTGAAATTAGTTCGTTCTGATGAAATTTTTATGATTGGTTGCACATAGAAAATCATTTGCAAGTGTACGTAATTGCTGGTATAAGCCTTCCTAACAAAAAATTATTTTACATTTCACTGTTAATGAGTACGAAATAAACTTAATGAATAATATCGATCTGTAATATGTACTTTGAAGCTTTCATGTTTGCATTTTTCTTACACAATTGTTACTACCAGGCCTATCATTCCATAGAGATATGACTTCAAAAGACCCTAAAGATTGAATTACCAAGCTTTCAATAAACTATAACGATCACGAATAAAGAAGTCGAAAATATTAATCTTGATAAAAATGGTACATTTGTTCGACAGCGAAAATGAGAGGGCGTGTACCAGAAAAGCGTAATGTATAATAGATTACTAAAATGGTGGCGTTATATGTGTCCTCAATTTATTTTTGGTTAAAGCTATTGTAGTCAGCATTAAGTAGTGAATACCTATCAAACTATTCATTCTTAAAATTGTATACCTCTACTACATATGGTAATGCAAACTTTTTACTTTCTAATAAAATTACGACAGAATTTCATTAATATCTGACACCAAAATATGTTATTCCTATTTGGAAATGCCGACCTTCTCAAAATGCTGTTGTTGTTTTATTCGATGACAGTTTATAATAATAAACATACATCTCATTATATGGTATCTGTAAGAGTTTTACCTAATAAAGTTCTATTTGACACTAAAATTTCACTAGTGATTTTTTATTTAGGTGATTAATTGACTAAATTATTATACTTTGTAATTTAAATATCAGAATTTCAACCATCATTTTGGAGAGTTCGTCATCCTTACTTGAATCTAATGAGGGTTCTATAATCAGATAGTGTTCGTCAACATTCCTATGGCCATTGGATAAATGAATATGTTAGTTCTAAGATTATTAGTTATATTGTACTGTACATGAGTACGTAGATCACATGGTATAGGAATGTGAAAATAATGCTACTAAATTATAACAGATAATTACTGGCCTATTTTGTAAGTGGATTATAATTTATGCACGAAAAAGATTGTTGGAGTCGAATAAAATTACGTCTGTTGACCGGACTCTAACATATCGCCGTATACAGCTACTCTGCAACGACAACCACTGCTGACTTTCGTTTAAAGGGGGGACGAGTGTGGTGTATGCTATTTATGTTGACATATATTAGTAGTATGTAGCACTGATCGGAAGTGGGATGAATGCCTGTAGAAGATTGGCAAGATTTAGTTGAAGAAAACAAGAAGTAATTGTAATAACAACGGAATTTAAAGAAGCATGAAGCATTTAAAGGACAACTGGTGGAAGATGTGCAAAATATGTATTTGGTGTATGGTTTCCATACTTTAAGAAATCAATTTGTAATTTTGCATTATTACTACTACTACTACTACTACTACTACTACTACTACTACTACTACTACTACTACTACTACTACTACTACTACTACTACTACTACTACTACTACTACTACTACTACTACTACTACTACTACTACTACTACTACTACTACTACTACTACTACTACTACTACTACTACTACTACTACTACTACTACTACTACTACTACTACTACTACTACTACTACTACTACTACTACTACTACTACTACTACTACTACTACTACTACTACTACTACTACTACTACTACTACTACTACTACTACTACTACTACTACTACTACTACTACTACTACTACTACTACTACTACTACTACTACTACTACTACTACTACTACTACTACTACTACTACTACTACTACTACTACTACTACTACTACTACTACTACTACTACTACTACTACTACTACTACTACTACTACTACTACTACTACTACTACTACTACTACTACTACTACTACTACTACTACTACTACTACTACTACTAATATTACTACTAATACTACTACTACTACCACGTCCACTAATACTACTAATACTACTACTACTACTACTACTACTACTACTACTACTACTACTACTACTACTACTACTACTACTACTACTACTACTACTACTACTACTACTACTACTACTACTACTACTACTACTACTACTACTACTACTACTACTACTACTACTACTACTACTACTACTACTACTACTACTACTACTACTACTACTACTACTACTACTACTACTACTACTACTACTACTACTACTACTACTACTACTACTACTACTACTACTACTACTACTACTACTACTACTACTACTACTACTACTACTACTACTACTACTACTACTACTACTACTACTACTACTACTACTACTACTACTACTACTACTACTACTACTACTACTACTACTACTACTACTACTACTACTACTACTACTACTACTACTACTACTACTACTACTACTACTACTACTACTACTACTACTACTACTACTACTACTACTACTACTACTACTACTACTACTACTACTACTACTACTACTACTACTACTACTACTACTACTACTACTACTACTACTACTACTACTACTACTACTACTACTACTACTACTACTACTACTACTACTACTACTACTACTACTACTACTACTACTACTACTACTACTACTACTACTACTACTACTACTACTACTACTACTACTACTACTACTACTACTACTACTACTACTACTACTACTACTACTACTACTACTACTACTACTACTACTACTACTACTACTACTACTACTACTACTACTACTACTACTACTACTACTACTACTACTACTACTACTACTACTACTACTACTACTACTACTACTACTACTACTACTACTACTACTACTACTACTACTACTACTACTACTACTACTACTACTACTACTACTACTACTACTACTACTACTACTACTACTACTACTACTACTACTACTACTACTACTACTACTACTACTACTACTACTACTACTACTACTACTACTACTACTACTACTACTACTACTACTACTACTACTACTACTACTACTACTACTACTACTACTACTACTACTACTACTACTACTACTACTACTACTACTACTACTACTACTACTACTACTACTACTACTACTACTACTACTACTACTACTACTACTACTACTACTACTACTACTACTACTACTACTACTACTACTACTACTACTACTACTACTACTACTACTACTACTACTACTACTACTACTACTACTACTACTACTACTACTACTACTACTACTACTACTACTACTACTACTACTACTACTACTACTACTACTACTACTACTACTACTACTACTACTACTACTACTACTACTACTACTACTACTACTACTACTACTACTACTACTACTACTACTACTACTACTACTACTACTACTACTACTACTACTACTACTACTACTACTACTACTACTACTACTACTACTACTACTACTACTACTACTACTACTACTACTACTACTACTACTACTACTACTACTACTACTACTACTACTACTACTACTACTACTACTACTACTACTACTACTACTACTACTACTACTACTACTACTACTACTACTACTACTACTACTACTACTACTACTACTACTACTACTACTACTACTACTACTACTACTACTACTACTACTACTACTACTACTACTACTACTACTACTACTACTACTACTACTACTACTACTACTACTACTACTACTACTACTACTACTACTACTACTACTACTACTACTACTACTACTACTACTACTACTACTACTACTACTACTACTACTACTACTTATTTACCTACTTACGCCCGTTACCCCTCGTGGCGGAGCATAGGTTGTCCACCAGCAGTGATAATAATAACAGTGGTAGTATCAATAGTAATAATGGTGGGGGATTGATACTGAAAAAGCTTGAATTTTTATGAGGCTAGAATTTAAATCACTAGTCATAAGATCTACAATACAGCTGGAGTAAAAGCGATACATGAAGTGACAATGAAGGAAATTTATCTGATAATTTAACACAGTTCCAATAATTCCTACTGTTTTACAGATGCAATTTTAACTTTACCGATGGTTTTGAAAAGTTATTTCCTCTAGTTATTTAAACAGTCAGTTTTATACTTTCATTTATTTTAAATTAAAGCATTTGTATTTAATACATATATTTGCCAAAGTTACTTTGGTCAATATTTAGTAAATAAGATGCCTCAGTACCCTATTAGGTAGCTTTTTAACATTCAAAGCAATGAATTCTGAATTCGATTATCGGTCAGAGCACTGGAATGTGCATACATCTTGCTAAAGAGTTCCACCTAGTACTGAATTTTCGTACCAAACGGTGTATACAGTCACTATCGAGAAAATTATATTGTTAGAAAATAAATAAACATTAACGATAATTGAGTAATAAGTTGGAAGAAAGTATTTACGGTAAAATCTGTTGATAAAGAAAAAATCACAGTTTTACGGAAAAAGTTTCTACTCTTAGTGTCTATTTTTGAAGCTGCATAATTCTATTTGTGGTTGCTCGGCACATAGTAGTCTATTGTAAAATAGTGCGTTATGTTATCCCGATTTCAGAAGCTTCCGTAAGGACATGGGATGCAGAAAATAATTTTTGGGATAGATTGTTTATGCATTTTGGAAAGAGGACAGGTTCTAACACCAAAATTCGGGGGACTAGACTTCGCATTGTGAGAAAATGAATAATTCATCTTAACACTTAATACCCATTTATATATGACCCAAGAACGTTTATCATCAGTGACTGAATATTAATCCGCTCGATCTTATTGGTAGCACAATCATGATTTACAAGAACCAGTACTTTGTGGACGTTGAAAAATATGAAATGCACCATGCTACTTCTTTTGAGACATTCTAATTCCTACACTTTTCCTATACATGAACGTAAACAGTTTGTTTTCTGTTATGTTGTTGTTCAAAACATCATATACGCTTCTGATGAATTTCAGACTCAACCCTACATATGGTTATACAACAAACATGATGGAGCTAAAGAATATCTGGCTGAATAGTGGACACGAGATCCATTCATTATAATGGTCCAGAACTCCGTAATCCCTATCCTACAGGGTTCCGCAATCAGTTTGTCGGAATATTTGAGTGAAAATTCATGTGGTGCTTGTTGTAAGGCCCGGATAATAAACGAACCAACCAATAACAACATTGAACGTCCACCACCACATTGACTCATTTCGAATTTTTATGACTATGTCCTCTTTATTCACCAACCACAATTTTTCATCTTTGTCATAAATGTCGTTAAGTTTTGTTGATCATTCTTCCCATGTTCTAGTTACTATTCTGTATGCTATTTATGTAGCCTTTTTTCCTGATTATTAGACTATTAATTGTTTTCTTGTTTACTGACGGTGTCAATTTGTGTTTTAGAAGCAGATAGTTCGTCAAACCAAATAACTTATTCTGACCTTTCCCATGAAAGACTCTGTGTTCGACAATCGGGGGATTATAGTGAAAATTCCAATTTTGACATATCGATTATAAACTAACATTGAGTAATTTGAAGAAAGAGGATTATAATAATCAAAGTAACTATTCGAAAATCAAGCAGTTGCTACGTTGCATCATATATATATAAAAGAAGAAAGGACTAACGAAATATTTTTATGAATGGTCAGTAATATAGTACTTACGTAAGAATCAAGAGACGAATGTTGATAATAAGTAAAATACAAAAGGTGGAAGAAATACGGAAATAATTTTTTTTAAGTTCTGTCACAAATTCATACTTATTACCTATAACCAAGGTAGCGAGAGTGGTTGTACAAACTTCTTTTGGATGCAAAGGTTTGGTTTTTGAACATGGATCTCAATGGCTTCAGCAATGTGCAAAAGACAAACTTGTAAACTATGCGGCAAATTTGATGCAATATGGTGAATAACCTTAAAAGCTTTATTCAGTTCAACTTGATAACCTGTGTCCACTAAGTGAGCGAGAATAGAACTCTTAATCACTCTTACCTATCCTTTGATAAATCACAACGGATGCTGTTCTGTTATGCGATGGCGAACTTTCCTAATTGTACGCCCTATATAACTGCCTCCGTAGAAGCATTTAAATTGGTAAATACACATAAATGTGGCGAGTTCAGGCAATCTGTCTTTATTAACTATTCTTATTATGGGGCGGTTGTAGAAGACGGCACTCAATCTGGCTGCATTAAATGTTTTCTGTACTGCCTTTCTTAACCTTTGAGTCACAATTTCCTCGGTAGCATCATTTAGGAATTGTAGTTTTAAGAACAGTACTTTCTTCGGAATGGTAGGTACCCTTGTCCTTCTTTTCATCGCCACTTGTTTGTCGATGTATTTTGTTGGGTATCCATTCCTACTAAGGAAATTATGAATATTAACCAATTCGTCTACAATGATGTCACCCGAGCAAATCATTCTAGCACGATGAGTCAGGATCTTTATTAAGTTTCTTTTGTATCTTAATGGTACAGCGCTATGGAAATAAGTGTATTGTCCAACTGTAGACTTTTTATGTATCCCTCTTTTTAATATTCCATCTACTCTTCTAGTTATTTTGACATCTAGAAACGATATGCTATTATTCTGTTCTTCCTCTAGTGCAAAAGTAACCGATGAATGAATATTATTAAATATAATAAGGAAATTCTCTTTTTCTTGTCCTTTTTCCAGTACTATGAACGTATCATCTATATAGCGCCAGTAAAATGTTAGATGGCTAATTGTGTCACTAAGTGGTCCATTTTCTAGTTTTGCAAGAAAAAATGTCTGCTAGCAGAGGGCCTAATGGTGACCCCATTGGCTACCACATCCAATTGTCTATAATATTCATTGTCGAATGGGAAATAGACATTTATCATGCATCTAAGAATTAACTGTTTTATTGCGGATGAGAGAATCAAGGTTTCTATGAGCCTCTGTTAATTAATTGCAAATAAAAACCACCGTTTCAAGTAAGGGAATGTTAGTGAGTAAGGATGATACATCTAATGACATCATGAAGTTATTCCTGACTGATATATTCTTTATATTACCAACAAATTCAAAGGAATCCTTGACACTATGCTTAGCGATTTATTTGTGCAATGGTTTGCTAATCTGCACCAACCATTTTGCTATAGTGTGATAGGCTGAGTTATTCATATCTAAAACGGGTTGATGGGGTAAGTCACTTTAGAATTAAGTCTGTAGGAAATAACTCCCCACTTCTTATTTCAATCAACAAGAACGAAGCAGTCGTAAGCTATGGTGTATCTTTATATGCTAACATTCAAACTGATATATGTTTAGGCTTCATTAGTGGCTTACTAGATAATGATAATAGTTTATCTAGGTGTCCTGTAAACATTATTTCAATCATGAAATCTCTCAACCTATACTTCAGTTCACCTCTGTCCACTTTCAAAGGGACATTGTATAAACAAAAGAATTGAGTAGCCATAGGATCTTCAGTATCTCCTAGTGTTGCTAATTTATTTATGTCCCATAATGAGTCGCTTATTTTTGTTAGTACCATCAGACCACACATCTGGCTCAGATATGTGGATGACACATTTGTCATTACTAAAAAGACTCTCCCTAAACATTTTTCTAAGCAGATTAAAGTGTTCTCAGAAAACACCAAATTTACTTTCGAAAAGACCTCTAAATGCCCTGGTACGGCCGAGAGTGGGGAGAGTCCGCTCTCCCTCTCAAAATGCTCTCACACGGCTACGCGTAAATAGCCTCTTCCAGGTGAGTCCTATTCACTGCCTTCTCGTGGCAGGGGTGTTGTTTACGAAAATGAGAGGATGAAAAGCGAATGTCCGGCGCTTTAACCGGATTCCAAACCAATGGTGCAAATGGGCTCCAGTATCCTGAAGGAACAAATGGCGTATGATCACCGGCTACCATGGGACTGCATCTCCTTACGATGCTCCACTGCCTTGTGGGTTAGACCTTTAGGTCAAAGGCCCCGGGTGTGACCCCTTAAGGAAACCACCTGCTTCGGTCTGGGCACCCGCGCAGTATCACAGCCCACACACAAATGATGAACTCTCTATGTCTATGGAAATTACTTTTCTCGCTTCGAAAAACAATCAATTGATTCAGATTATCATCATTACAATTATTGTCATTATTAATACTATTATTACTATTACTATTATTGTCATTATTATTATTATTATTATTATTATTATTATTATTATTATTATTATTTTTCCACATTATTCACCTTCTTTTATACTTATACAGCGGCTCGTCTTCGGTGGAAATTCGACTGCATCTAAACGTTTTCGTGTCACTGTCCGGTTGAAAATTGTATGTTACCACTGAATATGAGTACTGAAGCAGTTTTTCTGAAATCACGTGCGCCATTCAAACTGGCTGCCTTCAACGTTCGCACACTTATGCAGGTTGGACAACAGATAGAGCTGGCTATGTCTTTGGAAAGTCTTAATATCGACGTGTGTTGTCTATCCGAGACCCGTATTCAAGACTCTGGTGAAGTACTACAAATTCGCTCTACATCTGTCGCTTCAAAAAGCTTGTTTTACGTGCGCTTATCCGGGGACCCTATGGCATTTTCGTCTGCTCTTGCTGGCGTTGGTGTCGCACTAAGCGCTAGAGCTGAGGCAGCACTAGTCGATAGGATCCCCATTAACAGTCGGTTATGTGCTGTTAGATTAGAAAGTTCCATCAAAGTGAGAAGAAATCGGCGTGAGAAACGATGTCTTTTCGTCATCTCCGCCTACGCTCCGACAGATTGCAGCCCGGATGCAATCAAGG